GAATGAGTGCTCCCAGGCCAATGGGAGCTGCGGAGCCAGCATTCAGGGCAGGGGCAGTGTGCAGAGCATCCTTGCCCTAGGGGCCGCAGGGACCTGGCGGCCACTTCTGGGAAGCACATGGAGCTAGGGCAGGCAGGGAGCCTGCCTTAGCCCTGGGCCCCTGCTGTGCCACTGACCAGACTTCTGACGGCCCGGTCGGCAGTGCTGACCAGAGCCACCAGGGTCCATTTTCGACTGGCCATTCTGGTCAAAAACTGGACACCTGTCAGCAACCCTAGTTTGGTGGACCTCTCAATCTGGCATAAAGGGTCGCAGCATCACTCAGAATTGGCCCAGCTGCCCTTCTGTGATGGAGGAGCAGTTGGGCCATATTTAAATGGTGCTGTGACCCAGTGCTCCAGGTCGCAAAGCCACTCACTCAGTTTTGGCCCAGGCACCCCTTTGTGTCCAGGCCAAAGCTGAATGGTACTGTGACTTTGTGTGCCAGGTCGCAATTCCAGGAGACATTGGGGTAGGGGGCTGGGCCCAGCCTCATGGGACAAGAACCAGTGCGTGCACAGAGAGTAGAGGTAGTGCAGGGGGAGCTCTTTCTCCAAACACACACAGCAGTCCTCTCGTCAATGGTGGGTTTTTTATGGGGAGGGGGGCCCTTAGTTTCAGCTTTAATGTAAAATCATGTAAAACTAATTCAATCCGAGCTAATCAAATCTTATTTTATCTAATCAGTCTATGTAATTTCTGTTGCACACATCACCGTAGCACAGTAAATGGCTTTAATGAGTTACCATTGATCCATATTTTTCAAAATGCATGACTAATACTTCACTGATTCTTAATTCTTAAGTTGAGACTGGATGTCTTTCTAGAAGATATGCTCTGTTATTGGATTCAATGCGGCAATCACTAGGTGAAATTCTCTGGACTGTGCTTTTCAGGAAATGTAGAAATATATTATTACAATGGCCTCCTCTGGCTTTAAAATTTATGGAAAAATGAAATGGTTATGTAACAGTGCGCTGTATTTTCATAAAATGTAGTAAGTTTAGGTACAGTCAGTGACCTACTGTTGCCACTAGATGTCAGCAGAGACCACTGTTCCTCTTTTGCAAAACAATTGTACAGTGCAAGAAAGAAAAAGGTGTTTACAGACTTTTTCCGCTCTCTTAGATGAAATATTGAATGCAAAAAGATAAAGAGAGAAATGACATAGAAAACCACTCCAGCAATTTAAAAAATCAATATAGCATTTTTTTTGTTACCAAAATGAATAAAATACAGTTTTAAGAGAGCTCAGATCTAAAGCAAATGCTTTTCTGGTGGCTAAAGCTTCAGTAAAAGTTGTCAGAATTTTCCTTATAGCTTCCTGTTTTCAATAACTTTAAAAATTAATTCTCCTGTGGAGCCAAATATTCTGTGCAAAGACATGGAGCTGATGGGATCTTTTTAGGAAAACTCCTTCCGTCCTTGGAGCATGAAAAAATGCATTTGATAGTGTTTAAAATAAGTGACAAAGATTAGAGGGAAGGAGGGATGGCCTAGTGAGCAGGGCACTGATACAGGACTTGGGAGACACTGGATTTAATGCCACAGACTTTCTATGGTACCTTGGGCAAGTTATTTAATCTACCCCATGCCTCAGCTCCCCATCTGTAAAACTGGGATAGTACTTCCCTATCTCACCAAACATTATATGCATAAATCTATGAACAGCATTTTACTTTCAAAAGCATTTCCCCTGGAGGTCGACCCGTCAGCTCTGTCATTGTGACTGTGACTCTGGCAGTCCAGGTACCAGTGTATGCCAAAACCCCAGGCCTATTCCCCAGGCCTATTCCCTAATCCCAAAGGGATTGTTAAATGTATGAGTGGATTTGGTGTTTTAACTTCATGAAGACTAATGGGATGTTAATTGCATTGTTTTCACTTATTTGTAACCTGTCAAAAGGGGGTCTTGCAGGGGCTCTAGCCACCCCAAAATTTGCCTTAGCCACCCTGTAGCCAGCCTGTCACAGTGCCGTTCTCCAGCCACCCAGCTCTGAAGGCAGAGTGGAGAGAGCAGCAGCTGCTGGCTGGGTGCCCAGTTCCAGCAACAGCACAGGAGTAAACCCAGGCAAGGGTTCGGGGGGCCCAAAAGCAGCACCCGGCCCGTGTCCCCACTCGCTGGGACGCACCTCCCAGGATGGGGTGGGAGGTCTGGGGCTACCAACAGCAGCCGGTTCTGACCCACTCCGGCCTGGGCTCCTGGGCCCTGCCCTCCACAGCCGCTGACACCCAGGCAGCTATTAGCATCTGCAAGCAGCCAGTGCTGTGCACTGCCTGGCTCTGGCTTCTGGCCTCTGACCTGGCCGAGGGTCCTTTTTCTCATGTGCGCCAAGTATGTAAGTCTGCCTTTTTCCTTCATTTTAACCATGGCCATTTTACCTAAGCATGTTTACATGTCAGCAGGGGTTAATGGGACAAGTCAGTCTGCCAGGCTCAGTAACGCATTGTGGGGAAGCACAGCAAACTACTGGGTATCAAACAGGCATTAATCTTGCTGGCAGAAAGAACTATGATGGTCACATTTGTCAGCTTTTATAAAGCTGCCTCCACACTATTTCCTGTCTCTGAGCCTAACCCAACAAAGTGCTGAGGACCTTAATTCCCATGGACGGTTCCACCCTATCTCTCTCTAGATATATGTGTGTGTTTGAATGTTGCACGTGGGGAATTATTTCAGAGAATTTTAAGGATTTTTCATAAACTCTCAAGGAAGAATAACTCTGTGCCATCATCACATCCAAATAGTGCAGGAAGTTCTAATAAGGAATTAGGGGAAGATTTTTAAAAGCTCCTAGAAGACACAGAAACATAATCTATTAGTGATTTATGGTGACAAATTCATTTGTTTTGTACTTAGTTCAGACCACTAAGGACCACTCCAGCTCCTTTATACGAACGTATATATTTATATTTATAAAAACTTTGTGCAACTACAATTCAGATGTTTTATAGAGGTACTTTGAAAGCATATCATATTAATATATAATAACTCTGCACAGAAAGCTGTCTCATTCCTTATGGAAAACGTATGTCTTAGTTCTCCTGTGCTTTTGTAAATCATGCTCAGCTGTGAGATGTCATTTTAGGGGGTTCATCACAATTCAGGCCCATTTTAATGGAGTAGCGGTAATAAATATTCAGAGATCAGCATGAAGCTGCTGCTTACAGTACGTTTATAAGTAACTACATTTAGAGTTACATGATACAAATGTTGGCACGGCATTAAACTGCGATTTCACACATACAGAGATTTTTGTTACTACTCAGGTGCTGAGTCTAACACATAACATTTAAAGTACCATACTCAAGTGTGTGTAACTTTGGTAATGAAGGATTTTCCCTACTTCCATTTTAAAGCAGTTACTATATTTTTGCACTGGTAAAGTGATTGCATGTTGATAGTAGACAGCCAGAAATGTATCCTGCCTAATTCAAGTGCACGGCAACATGTTAAAAATACAATAACACTGGAATGTGGTGGGGTGAGATTTTCATAAGCACCTAAGTGACCTTGGAGCTCAAGTCTGATTGACTGTCCATAGGACTTGTGCTCCTAAATCACTGAGGAGCTTTAAAAAATCCTCCTGGTATTTCATCCTGATGAAAAGGAGAGAGAGAGTTTTGTGGGTAAGGCACTGGACTAGGAATCAGAAGATCTGGTTTGATTTCTGGCTCTGCCACAGACTTCCTGTGAGGCTTTGGGCAAATCACTTAATCTCTTTATTCCAACTCCATTAAATTCCCTTCTTTCCTGCCTTAGCCTTTTTACAGGGCTGGTTCTTTGGAGCAAGGCCTCTATCTCTCTGTCCATACAGCACCTGGCACAATTGGACTCTGCTCTCAGCTGGGGTCTCTAGGTGCTACAGTATCACTAATGATGCAGTTTTTGAATACAAAAAATAATAAATTGCTATAACCTTTAACAGAAGCAGGTGAGAACAGTTATCCCCATTTTCAGTAATGAAGAAACTACACTGCAGAGAGATAAAGGGACTTGCCCAAGGTCCCACTGCACATCAGGGGCACTGCTGAGACGTGACCGCAGCATCCTGACTCTCAGTCCTGTGCTAGATTTGCACAGTCTCCTTATTTCAGAATGGTTTTCCATGCGTCCATTTCATCTGGATCACTACACTGAAGTCATAAAGGAACACACATCCTTAATAGGAATATAGTGGAGCATTAGACTCAATATGGGCTTGATCCAAAGCCCACCGGAGTCACTGGGAGTTTGACGGTTAATGGCACTGGATCAGGCCCTCTATTAGGCATTATTGGCCAGGATACTCAGCACAGAAGATAAATTTCAGCTGAGCTGTATGTATGATTTTGCACAAGTTAAATACATCCTACCACAATGCATCAGAGTTTCCATTGAAATTATAAATCCAGATGTAGAAACATGTTGGAGAACAAAGTCAATGACAATGTTAAAGTATCAGAGAATCATAGAATATTAGGATTGGAAGAGACCTCAGGAGGTCACCTAGTCCAACCTCCTGCTCAAAGCAGGACCAACACCAACTAAATCATCCCAGCCGGGGCTTTGTCAAGCCGGATAAAAACCTCTAAGGATGGAGATTCCACCACCTCCCTAGGTAACCCATTCCAGTGCTTCACCACCCTCCTAGTGAAATAGTGTTTCCTAATATCCAGCCTTGACCTCCCACACTGCAACTTGAGACCTTTGCTGCTTGTTCTGTCATCTGCCACCTCTGAGAACAGTCTAGCTCCATCCTCTTTGGAACCCCCCTTCAGGTAGTTGAAGGCTGCTATCAATCCCCCCTCACTCTTCTCTTCTGCAGACTAAATAACCCCAGTTCCCTCAGCCTCTCCTCGTAAGTCATGTGCCCAAGCCCCCTAATCATTTCTGTTTCCCCCTGCTGGACTCCCTCCAATTTGTCCACATCCCTTCTATAGTGGGGGCACCCAAACTGGACACAATACTCCAGGTGTGGCCTCACCAGTGCCAAATAGAGGGAAATAATTATGTCCCTCGATCTGCTGGCAATGCTCCTACTAATACAGCCCAAGAATCATGCATCTCAAGAATCCAACTAGCAATGTGTAATAAATGGTGTGGGGTAAATATCGTCTACCATGTAAAGTGAGTGCTATGTTCTGAAGGAACTCCCTTGAAATTAGAAATACCTGACCTGGCTTACAGGTTTCTTGGGCTGTTTCATTTCTAACATTAGCTCTGTGTGTGCACATTCACATGTGTGTCATTAAAAAATAGAATCACAGCTATGCTATAAAAGATGAAGGTCTCCCATGTCTGAAGTGAGATGTAAGGGAACAGAGAGAATCTGTAATTAGTAAACATTGTTAATTACTAATCTGTAATTAGTAAAGTGTTAATACCACTGATACTTACTGAATTGTACTTCAGACCAAGTCCTACTACTGTACCTGGGATATCACTCAGTACGCTAGAAGCCTGAGTACTCTGGATTGTCATGTGTGTGGTTTAGGTCACCCTTCAAATACTCTGAAGTCCATGGCACCCTAGATCACTAATCTGACTCTCATTCTGTGCAGTGAAACTGTGCTAGGAGATACATTTTTATTATTCATGTGTTTTTTGTCTTTCTCACTCTTTCTTAACCAGGCTTCAGATATATAGAATCTGTATAAGAGCAGACATGAAGGTCACAATGTCTAAGGGCTGCTTAGTAGCCTATGTACAATAAATGTAGTGATGGTCTCAGGCCAGCTGTTAAGGGAGAGAGGCTTCCATCACAGCTAGCACTAATTGGCACCTTTGTTAGGAGTCTCAGCAGAGGCCTAGGATTAAGTGGGCTGTGGAGACAGGACTCCAGTGCAGTCATGAGGCACTCTGTCAGGGGCAGTTGGCGGGGGAAAGGAAAGAGGAGAAGCTGTGTTGTGCTAGATCTGCCCTGCAATAAAAGGGGACAGCTCAGTCTCTGGGCTTGTCTAGTGAGCACTAAATACACACCATTTATTTTCTTTTAAAGACACAAAGGTCACCTCATTAACATTTAACAATGAACTGTTGCCATAGTGAGCACTGCACATTGGTTAAGAGACGAGCTAGCTGAGCAGCATGGTACGCTCAGGAGTAGCTTTGCCATTCTTCTTATCCACAGTCAGTTCACCTTGTTAGATTCCACATTATCATTAGGCTGCATTGCTGCTTCAGATCCTCTGCTCCCGTCTCTGTTTGAGGCCTACCACTCGGGCAGCCAGCAGGAACGCTGCCCCAGTCAGCACCTCTGCAATGAAGGAGACCCACACAAGCACCAAAGACCAGCCAAACTTGATGTCAACTTCCTCCAAGAGATTGTTCCTTCCCAAAAGGCAGAGAGCTTCCTTGAAGGCAGCCGCTGAGTATGCGACGTAGACACTGATCCCAGTGAGCGTAACAAGGCCTAGAGGAAACACAAATACAGTATAGTGTTGGGGTCCACTTTACTTAAGTCAAAACTGCGTGGTTAGGGCTCTGCTAGATCTCCTTTGCCGTCCCTCCCTGTATACACAGGCAGGACTCTCTTCTGCCCTGTTTTTGTTTCTTGTCAATGTCCCTAGTTTTGTTTTGGTCTCTGTATCACTTAAGTGATTAACCAAAATGTAAAACAGCATGTTTCCTGCAATGTACATCTAATGATGTGTGTTCAGACACCTAAAAATATACAGCCCAACTTACAAAATTGTATTATATAATGGGCCTGATTCGCCCCTGCTTTGCGCCTTATATAGTTGTGTACTCATGTGAAAAGTGGGTGTGAATGGGAGTGTTTTATAGACACTTTGCACAGCTGTAAATGACTACACCGGGTGCAAGTAGAGAACTGGTTTATACATTTCAGCTCAATGATGCTGCTTGTATTTAGGCTCAAATTTTCAAGTGTGGTCTCTAATGTTGAGTCCCCAGCTTAAAACTCCTTGGGCTTTACTGTTTGCAGAATTGCTGTAGCTGCGCTGGCCCAGGATATGAGAGAGAGGAGGTAGCTGAGGTAATATTTTTTATTGAACCAACTTCTCTTGGTGGAAGGCACAAGCTGAAGAGGAGTTCTGTGTAGCTCGAAAGCTTTTACCTTCCACCACCAGAAGTTGGTCCAATAAAAGATATTGTCTCACCTACTTTGTCTCTCGAGCCTTATGGTCAGCTCCTGGACTGGACTGGAACTGCTCACCACTTCCGGAAAATCAGACTGTAGGTATGTCAAGCTGGGCTCCAGAAAAATCCAGGTGCTCAAAATAAGCATCCACATTTTTCAAGAGTGGCTGCATAATTTGTCAATTGCTGCAGGATGGGTGGTGAAATCCAAATTCAAGACAGGATCGCAGTATAAGGCTGTTTAGGGGGGGCATGCTCCCTCGGGACAGCTCTGTTATTAGGTGCAGTGTATAGAGCCTGCTGTGGAATCAGCCTCATGCTGCTTTTCCCATGCAGATGCAGAGGGGACTTTTTGCCCAGGGAGAAGGAGATTTCCACCTCTGCAGCATGTTCCCCTAGCTCCGTACAAGGCCCCTCCCAGGTGCTTCTGTTCCAGTGAGGACAGAAAGGGCTGAGGGCAGGGAGGCCATCTCAGCTCCTCCCAGATTGTCTCCCTGCTAAAACCCCAAGAGAAAACTCTAAAAGTTAATACTCCCTGACTTCCCTGGGCTGGCTTGCCTCCCTCTCCCACCACCAGCAGCAGTGAGCAGGGCATCCTTGCCCCTGCATTTGCAATGGAGTCATGCATCTGTGGAATTTAGACAAAGGGTGGGGCCTCCATGTAAATGGCCTTGTTCTCCAGACAATTGCTAAGATCCATGATATCTGGGGGCTGGAGCCCCAGGCCTTTTCTGCACGGAGGTGGGAGATACCCTAATCCCACTCCCCGATGGAAGAACCCTAGGGAGCAGTGTACATTAAAATTCTCAGAGCTTCCTGTCCCCTGCTTCTGTATAGGGGAGGATGAGGCCTTAAGCTGGTGCAAAGCAATCAAGAGTTACCAAGCCAGGTATTAAATAGAGAAATTCCTCCTAGTGCACATGGCTAGCATAAGGCCAGTCTGTTATTGAAGTCTCACTTTCTCCCTCACTGTCATAGGGTAAGCAGGGCTTTTAAAGTCCCAGCTCTCACCTGTGCCTGGCTCTTCTCCACCTGGATCATGTGACTGTGGTTGGGGAGCAAGGCCTGCTGGGAAGAAGGAAACAGGATAAAGGGTGGAAGAGAGGTGGCAGGAACAGCCCACTGGATGATTCCATGGTAATTAGAGTTTGCAGAGTGCTTAGATGTGGCTTTCTGGTAGGAGAGAGCTGACAGAGATCCAGCAGAAGCCTGGGAAGCTCTCCAGACACAAGGGTTGGCCTGGAGCTGGTGTGTCTCCCTGCTGGCAGAGTAGCCTAGAAAGGACTGTATGGAGGATGTGTAAGAGGGTCTAGGATGCTGGGAAGTGAGCTAGTGTAGGGAATAGCCCCAGTGAAAATGTAGAGGCTATAGCTGAGGAATGCTTTTTTGTTTAGGCTCTCAAGGCTAACTAGCAAAAGGACCTGGGTTCCTCTACATCTCAGCTGTGCCACCTGAAAAGGCTGCAATGATGTGACTAAGGACTGTGGTCCAGAGATGGTGAAGTTATCTGTGGAGCACTTAAAAGAGAAGATTTGTGGTGGTTTTGTTTGTGCTCCTGTTTGCCTAGGAAGAAGAGATCTAGTCTGACCATAGGTCAAATTGCCCTACCAGCCTGTGAAAGACCTCTTTGGTGGGAAACTGAGGCACAGATGCATCTGGACATCAGAGAGGTAAAACACATTCATACTCTTGGTTGAAGGAGCGCATGGGGCTTGCTAGACCTTAGCATGAGGGTGAATCTCTTCCTCCTTGTACACAAACTGCCAAATAAGGATAAGGGGATTATTTTCATGGGGGTTTGGGGAAGGTCTTCTAGATTCTGATACTCTAACCAGGGTGGGTACATTTAAGAGGTGGCAAGCTAAAGTGTTCCAAAACCTGGAACGTACAAACTGTGCTGGCAAGGAAAAAGCCCTGGTGTTTGTGTCTGCAGCCTAAAGCAGTGGTTCTCAAAGCCGGCCCGCCGCTTGTTCAGGGAAAGCCCCTGGCGGGCCGGCCATTTTGTTTACCTGCCGCATCTGCAGGTTCGGCCGATCGTGGCTCCCACTGGCTGCGGTTTGCCGCTCCAGGCCAATGGGGGCTGTGGGAAGCGGCGGCAGCATATCCCTCGGCCCGCGCCACTTCCCGCAACCCCCATTGGCCTGAAGTGGTGAACTGCAGCCAGTGGGAGCCGCGATTGGCCGAACCTGCGAACGTGGCAGGGAAACAAACCGGCCCGGCCCGCCGGGGGCTTTCCCTGAACAAGCGGCGGACCGGCTTTGAGAACCACTGACCTAAAGTATCTCTTCATATTGTTCTACATTGTCAATCAATATAGAACAGCAGATAAAGTGGCACTCTGTATAAAACTGTGTGTGCTACATTAAGCTACAGCATAAGAATTTGTAGTTACAGCAATTTACACCAGCTAAGGTTCTGGCTCAAGATTTTCCTTTCAACTGAGCTCTCAGAGCTACAGCATTCAGTGCGCCAAATCAAACCCAAGTGGAAAAACTGCATTATAAATTACAAATCTTCTGTGTCTTAGCTTTTCACTTAACACTATCTTCAGTGGTTTCCCAATCCCCAAAATCTGTTGTGACACTGCTCTCGTGCATGTCTATTGAATGGTGCTTCCTGAACAGCTGCAGAAACAAGGAGCTTACATGATGAGTTGGTCTTGTGAAAGCACAAACAGTGATGTGCACTTCACTCTGCCCAGTGCTCCCAAAGCCCTGAAATAGTTGCTTGTTTGCTTCCAGCAACTCTTGTCCTCCTTCTCTTTCCCTTTTAGAAATGGGATATTCTGATTCACTGACCCATGTGTAATTGGATCCTAATAAAGCAGACATGACTAGTGACCTGCTGAAAAGGCCATTATCGGGGATCGCCTGGACATTCCTCCTAAGCTCAGCCTGACCAAAGGGTCAGGACTTGGCAGACAGACAGAGGTGGCAGGCAGCATGGTCTTGGTCGGGTTTCAGCAGCATGCCATCTGCTGGAACTGCTCAGCAGGTAGGTCTATTCCTGGCCCACTTATCTGTTGAGTGAACAGTGCTGCTGCTGTAACTGTTGATTTGGGGGGAAAGTAACAAGCAACTGTGGAGCGGCTGCTATAGAGCAGTGCTCTGCAAGAACCTTCAGCAGAGAGATCTAGGCTAAGATGGACTCCTGTCCCCCACTAGCCCTGGGAGGGTGGGAAGGGCGTGAGACTGAAGTTTTATTGTTGGCATTAGTGTGACCAAGGAAGAGCGCCTGTTTGACTGGGGGGAAACTTCTTGTGTTTTATAGTAAGTGGTAACTGGTTATAAACTATCAAAAGCACATAACATCAGAATTGTGGGGCAAAATTCTGTATACTTGGCTATTCCTTTTATTAGGATGTATTACCCCCTCCCCGTCCCCTAACTCTATCTTCTGCTTAGAGTATAAGCCTTCACCCTTTGCTGCTAAGTTCTGAGCACACCAATATGTGATCATTTTTGCAATCACCAACTTCCACTACACTTGGGTTTAGCATTCTTGTGGACTGTTAAAAACAGTTACCAAGTACCACTGCAGAGCTGGCTGCATTTCTTGTCACAGGTGAAATATTCCCTATAATCCTACCACACAGGGCTGTTGTCAAGCTGTGTGTGTGTGTGTGTGTGTGTGTGTGTGTGTCTGTGTGTGTGTGAAGTTGTTGTACTATAGTGAATTAAAAAGGCTTCTCTGGCCCTTTCCAACCATTTTACTTTTATACTATTGGTGGAAGAAAGTTACGCCTAATCTAAAATACCTCACAGGGTACTGTGAGATTTAGTTAGTATTGTTAAGTCTTGCCCTAAGTAGCTTGTATATCACTTTGAGGTACATGGATAGAAGATTGCTATTAATGCTAATGTGTGGCAAGGCGGGTATTTATAGGCTTGTTGCTCTACCAAGGCAATGTATGTTATGAAAGAACATTGCATTAAAGCTGCTGCCATGTTTCTTCTCTTTTTCCAAGAGAGAATTCATTGATTTGTGTGTATGCAGTTCGCTCTGGTATTGTGCGCACAATGTTAATCTCATGCCTGTAGCAAATTCCCTGGAAAGAAGTAGGACTAGGAAGTAGGGATCAAAATCATACTGGAGGTTTATAAAATAAAGGATTACACTCCTCATTCAAGAGATTCTGCTTGTAAATTTTGCTTTGGCTTGCTGCTCAGATTCCATAGTGAGCACCACTGTAAAACACTGATTGCATGCAGGTATTATGGTGATCAGTTAGACATTATTAGATGTCAGAGTATCCTGGCCTGCATATCTCAACTCTTGCCATCTGAACCTATCAAAATGTTTGTCACTGTAACAAGATATCAGGTTCCAGATATCTAGGCAGAAATGCAGAGTTGTTTTGCTGACTCATGCTGATGTCATGTGCTAGGACCCTGAACAGACTCAATTACTCTTACTCAGTGTCACCCAGACCATGTGGGTCCTATTAGTAATTAGCTTAAATCCAGATGTATACAGGGAATTAAATCTGTCTCTTTGAGCAGCTGCAGAAATAGAATCCTGCAATAGAAAACTGTAGGACCAACCTTAGGAGAAAGCTTAGTCTGAGGCCGGCTTTGCTGTTAACAATAAAGGCAAATCCCAGACAGGAGTTTAGAACCGCTCCAGAGCGAATGTGCACTGTTAGGAGAAGAGTGGGAGCCCCATCTGCTTACACTCTGCTTTCCACCCATGCTAGGATGGAGCAGGATTAGACACTGGAAACTCTAAATACGATGATGGGAATTCTCCTATTTATTACCGTCTACGTTGTATGATCCCAAACCCCTACTGGCAGAGTTTACCTTAGTATCATGGGGAAATATAAACTGGCGAAAATGGAGATGAGTTAAAAGTGGGTGCAACTACCAGGAAGGAATGTCTCTCTCCTTGTGATGGCCTCACCTTCCAGCAGAATGGGCCCTAGTGCTTGGCATCTCTGAAAATCAGGCCCTTACACTGCAAGCCATTGCTAAAGACATGGTGCTTCGGGATGCTTCAAGCAAGTGTAGATGACATGGTGGTTTGAGAACTTACAGTGGCCTGTCTACAGTGATTCTTCCACCATTGCTGTTGCTGATGAAACTGTACATGTGCTAGGGCAATGGTAGCTTTCCTTTAAAAACAGTCAATGTAGAAATGGGTAGTGGGAGGCTTGCGTAAATGAAGATGGCGCAGGACAGTCCGTTTCAGTTAGCTTGCAGTTTGATCATTAAACGTTAGAGGGGATTAGAAGTGGCTTTAATGCTCATTCACACTGGGTCACAATCTGGCTCGCTGCTTTTTGATTCCACCAAATCAAAATCCTTACAATAGGAGAGGGGGCAATTATTAATCCAGCTCCAGGAATCCTCACCACCTGCTCCTAAGTAAAAACACTCTCCCTAGAGTACTGATAGGGACACTTGAAGCCTTGAACCTGTTTCTGTTAATGTTAACTGGAGCCATTCATGCACGGTGCTGAGCAGAGAACTGAGGGCATTTGGTACCTCACAGGGCTGGGTGGTAGCTTCCTAGCTCAAAGCAAATAGTAAGGATAAAATAAATGAAATAGCTGGACAGACCATGTAAGCCCCAATTTACAGGCCTGATACAGAGTCCATTGAAGTCAATGGAAATCTTCCCACTGATGGCTGTTTTTGTTTGATTGGTTTTTTCCTTGAGCTTAAGATCAAGCCTTAACTCACTACAGTTCAAAGTTGTATAATTCCAAGTTTCATAAATTCCAAAGCCTTTTGCATTCTACTAAGATTTAAAAAAAAAAAATCTTGTCTCTAGAAGAGAAAACTGACATAACATTTGCCGAAAGGGTATTTAACCTTTCAAGGATGAAGATACTGTGTTCAAGATGTCTCTCAGTCCTCCACGAGACACAACTATATGTAACTTTCTGCTATTCCTTGTTGTAAATGTCAGCTGATTACCTCAGAATCCACATTACTAGCTTGTCAATCTGCAAGGAGACGAATGAGAAAGCACATGAAGTGAAGGCTCTCGGTCTGAAAGCAGACACTTGGCTGGTTCTGTTCTCATTGTCTCTTTACCCTCTGGTAGTTGAAGTGCTACAGTTCTAAGCTGTCACCCTTAGTCTCATTAACAAAAAATAGGACTCAGTACAATACCTCCAAAAAGAAAAAGCCATCCCGTCATTAGAAGCAGCAGGTAGGCCCTGGCAAGAATACTAATAAATCCAGTCATTCCTCCAAAAATCATCAGGATCAGGCTGAGAGGCAGCAGGATTACAAATGTCCCATGCATGTCTAGAGAGAAATGAAAGTTATCAATGTTTCATTATCACTGCCATTGATTGCATTACAGTAGTGCCCAATCAAGATCAGAGCTTTATTGTGCTGGGTACTGTACAAGCACATAGTAAGGCCATCCCTGCTCCATGGAGTTTACAGTCTAAATAGACAGGATGAAGGGTGAGAGAAATGAGATGTGACAATGAGATTTTGATCCCTTCACTTAGACTTAGTAGTACTTTATTCAGTGAACAGCTCTACTGATTGCGCTTCTCATTGTGAGTAAGGGTATCAGAATCTAGCCCATAGAGATCAAGGTGATGGGTTGCAAGCTTCATGTTAGTTCCAGGTCCTGGTTTTCTTAGATTCCATACAACATGGAATATTCTTAGTGCTGACTAACTTCAAAGAATCTGTGGTAGGGATGAGAGGTTACTGACATAATGGGACAGCAGATGGCTAGGGTGAAACCTGAAGTGGGTGCTCACTGTCAGATGCATCTCAGAATTCCCTTGAAAGACTCATGTCAAAACTTTTAAATGACAATTCTGCACAAGGCAATGGTCAGAGGGCTGAAACTCTTCTGATTCAAGTTAATTTTTCATCCTGTCTCCCATCAGTGTTGCTGATTTCTTCTCTTCAAATGCTGGGCTTTTATCTCCTATTCTCAATACTCAATTATTCCTGCTTTTTATTGTAAGTGCTGGGGTTGGAGAAGAAGGGGGGAGCGTAGTGTGATGGAAGCAACAGGGACTGGGATCCAGGGCCCCTGGCATCTCTTCTCATCTCTACCATGGTCATGCAGGGACCTTGGTAAGTCACAGGTTACTGGCCTCTGTACCTCAGTATCTGGATGTGGGTGATGTGAAGGTTAACTCGTTAGCTTGAAACCTTGGTTTTGCCCACGCACCAAGCCTGTATGAAAGGCTTTGTGCGAGAAACCAGCACAATAGCTGAGGAGGACAAGCCAGAGGCAGAGTTCAGTGCACCTGCCAATCTCAGGCTACCATTCCTGCCCATGGATTGTAATAGCGGCCACATTCCCATTGAGCAACCACCACAGACCCCAGCTCCAGTGCACACTGAGTGCCAAAGGGACTCAATTGATAGCTTCTGTTTCCCAGCCTTTCCCATGTAGTGGTACTACAGGGTTCTGCTATATTTTGGTCCTGCAGCTACTGAAGGGCTAAGAGGACTTGTCCCTTAATAGTTGTAATGCAGTTTGAGATCCATGCATGAAAGGCATTCAGCAGAATAGGCGAGAGCCCCATAAACCACTGGGGTTGCCCAGGGGTAAATCAGGGCAGCATTAGTCCACACACATACCAAATTGTGAGCATGCCCACATCATCATCATCTGGAACATAGGCAAGTCCTTTCCCTACTACCTCCTGCTAATGCCAGTGCTATATAATAAATACTCTCCAGCTTCTGAGGACACTGCAGGAATATTTATCCATTAACTTTAGTGACAGCATAAGATTATCTAACCCAGCATGCCTTCCCTTTTCTGCTTAATATTATTTTAACCAGCTTCTTGCTCTTCCGCCTTTTGTTGTAGTACCCTATTCTGTATAGGTTGGTTATGCAGTGTGTGAGACCGCTCTGCCCCTCTCCCCTTGTGGAGTGTGTCCCCGCACGTGCACACATTTCAGTCCTTCAGGGGGAAGCAGTCTCTTTCATCTTAGTCCTTCTCAGAACACTGAGCACTTCCATTAGCTCATTGAAACACCTTCTTTGTCCTCAGCCCAGTTCCCTTAATACTTCATCACGTAGATTCTCCAGACTTGGACTCATCTTTGCTTGCTGTCCATGGAATCCTCTCCAAAGCCAAAGTTCCCTTAAGTGGTCTGATAGCCTCCCACATGAACCCATAAGCCTTTTGTCCTTACCTTTGTCCTACTTCATCCCAGCCAACCTCTCTATGTACTTAACACAAGTACCTGTGTAATCATAATTCAGCCTTTCTGTGCATAAACCTTATGATCATCTCCAGTTATATAACCACATACTGGATTTTTTTAGCCCACCACACCTCTGCCTTTCTTAAAGCCTAAGATGGATGATGATCATCCTAGGCGCCGACTTCTAGTTTTCCCCAGGGGTGTTCCAACCTTGCTCCGCCCCCAAGGCCTCACCCTCACTCTGCCTCTTCCTGCTCCTGCTCCGCCCTCCTCCCACGAGGCTCCTGCCCACTCGCTCTCGCTGCTCTCTGCCCTTCTCCAAGCCTCTCCCCATGGCCTGCCGATTAGCTCAGCGATGCCACTGAACAGCTGTGGCTGATGGGTGCTGGCCATCCATTATTTTTTTTTCCGTGGGTGCTCCAGCCCCTGAGCATCCACGGAGTCAGCGCCTATGATGTTCACTTAATGAAAAACTATTCAAGATTTGTTTTATCCATTTTTCAATGGGTGGCCCCAGGCCTTGTTTACTGCACACTATTCAAACCCTGCTCTGAAGACAGAATTATTAATTTTCTCCTGGGATTTTCTATGTTGTTCATCACTGCAGTGTCAGAAGGCATCACAGAACGTATTTTATTTTCAGTATCCCTGTGAGATGAAGGAGTGGCTATATCCTCACTTCACAGATGGGGAACTGAAGCACAGAGGTCACAGGTATTTATTAATTTTGAGTGCATAGGACCTGACTTTTTTTTTTCCCCAGAGAAATTACCATTATATAGCACTTAATATATATGCAAACACAGCTCCTGTTGGCTTCAATTGCAGCTGTGAATGCTCAGCTCTTGTGCAAATCAGACCCCAGGGTCTCAAGTCAGGTCCCCAGAAAATGAGGAACACACAGCTAGTGACCATTTGTGGAAAGTTTGGTTGAAGTGACTTGCCCAGCATCACACAGTCTGAGGTAGAATCCAAGTCTTCAGGACAGGATTCAACTTCTTTAACCATGAGGCCATCCTTTATCTTCCTGCAATCCCTTGCCTCAGTCACTGCACACCTTCCAACTTCAACAACTGAGGCAGGGGTCCTACCGACAACAGACTTCTTCACTATACAACCAGGATTCATCCCTAGAGCAGGTCTATCCTGGGCTCTGAACAAGGTAGAATTCCAGTGGCGGGAGGGGAGAAGGGGCGGGAATTGTGATCATGTAATTAAAGACAGTCTCACAATGCATGCTCACAAAGGGGCTGAATTAAGGTTGCCCAGATAGGAAATGCCAGAATTAAGGCTAACTTTGAATACCTGACTCTTCAGTCTTAATCTTTTAATGTTGCTTTGTACATAATTATTATAGAGTTCTTAAAGAAAAATGAAAAAATAAATTCCACTATGTGTCATCATACCAAACCCTACGTGGGTCATCAGCAGGGCTGGAACCTTTAGATCACCACACAGACCTCTGCTATTTGTGCTAACTGTGTAACTGACAGCAATAGTAGGTTATCATCTTCTAGGTGGACCTGCAACTTTGCTAGTGGGTTTCACAGTTATTTGCTGGCTGAAGAGGAATGGGGAGAATCTTGGTTCCATTCCAGGCCCTGGAGGGGAGTGTTCTCTAATGGGCACAGACTCTTCTGTCCCCTCCCCCTCCAAATTTTCTTTGTCCACATCCTGGATCCCTGTCCCAGTCCCACTATCCTTGCCATTCCAGTCTCCACTCCTCAGGTTTCTCATCCCAGTCTCCTTGCTGAGTCAGTACCAGTCTTCTCTTCTCCCACCTCTCTGGTCTGGCTCTTGTCCCCTCTTCATTTGAACTGGACAGCTTCCTCCTTCACACTGTGGGGGGCCTAGCATGGGGAGCCTTGAAAGACAGGCTCCCTGTTCTCACTTCAGGTGTCTGAACCTGGAGCCAGAAGAGCCCACAGCAGTCTTAGTTGCAATTTCAAGGACAGTCCTGTTCAGCCCCAGGCTGAAACATGCCCAGTGCAGGGAATCTCCAGGGAATTCAATGTTAAAATGTAAGTCTCTACTGAGCATGTGCAAGCAGCAGTATTCCCCCTCCCCCCCGCAAAGGCTTATGACTTGAGCAACTCTTAACAGTGAAGGCAAAAGGCTTATCCCTGATACAAAGGTCATCCTCTGCCACATTTCAAGTCCCTGCTACAAAAAGTGGCCACTGGAGATGTTCCAAAAAAAGAGGTCTTCAGAACTCTTTGACATGGGCAAAACAACATTTTTCCTAGCCACCCTCTCAGAAACAGCTGAATCATTTTGGCTGAAATTTTCCAAGACAATTAACCATTTGGGTTGCTAGATAACTCAGAATGAAAGTTTGACAAAACTATAAACAACTGAAAGCAGGGTCTTACAATGGGAAATGTTGGGCAACCAGCCCTGCCTACAATAGACCAATAACTAATAATATTCACACCAGCACTACTCAGTTTCCTAGGGGGATCCAACAAATACTTTTTTGTGTCTTCTGTTAATATTCTGTCCTTCTGCTAAATCGACATAGTGTCTTGTTTGCTTTTATTCCCTGCAGCTGTTCACTGGGTTAATGGTTGATCTGAATTTTTTCCATAACCCTTGCATCTCTCTAGCTATCAGTCTTTTAGATAACCATTTCATTTAGTACATTTGCCTTATCTTGAGTCCTTCCTCCCATACTAAATGTTTTACATTTGCCTGTGTTGACCTTTTCACCCTGACCCACTTTGGTGGGGTATTCTAACAGCTGTGTAAATAGAGTTGCTATTTTCCTATTGCATTGAAACTCCCTTCATAAGCCTTCTTTATTCATATCCATCTCTCCCCCTCCCATGATCAAGAAGCACCTACCTACCATGATCTACATAGCTCACCCCAAGATCAAGAAACACACCCTCATTCCCATTGCTACTGTCCACCTGCTCCCAAGGATGGTCAGCAGCCCACTCTGACATCCAGATGCTGAGATCCACCTGCTTGCCCCATTGACACCTACCTGCCAGCTGCTGCTGCAACCCACCTAGTCCCCTTAAATCTTACCTGCCTATTTGGTCCATTCTATAGCATGATATAGGTTGTATGCTGCAGGAGAGAGCAATCGGATCTCTCAGGGGCGTG